ACAGGTTTTCTATTTTTTGTTTCTCTTTCTCTCCTTTTGGTACCTCAATTATGTAAATGTTGTTTCATTTTGTGTTGTCCCAAAGCTCCCTTTAGACTCTCCTCTTGCTTTTTAAATTTTCTTTCAAGTTGATGCTGTGTTTGTGTGTTTTTTCCTACTTTGTCTTCTAATTTGCTGATGCAGTTCTCAGCCTCTTTTAGTCTACTGTTTAAGCCTTCATTTTTTTTTTCTTTATTGCAGCTATGTTGTTCTTCATTTCCTCTTGGTTCCTTTTCATATTGGTAGATTCTCATTCAGCTCCTTGTAATTCTCATTGAGTCGTGTGTATTTATCATCCAGCTGTTTGAACATCCTTATAACCATTACCCTGAATTATTTCTCTTGACATATTACTTACTTCGATTTCATTTAACTCCCACTCTGGTGATTCCTCTTTTTCCTTTTCTTTGGGAATTGCTTTTTTGTCTTTCCATGTTTTGCAGTAATGTTTTAATTGTAGATCTGATTGCTTTGCTACCCAGGTTTGTTTGGGGATGATGCTATTGATATGGCCTCTCAGATCTCCTGGGCTTGGTAATCCTGCACAGCTCCCTACTTAAGCTATTTGGATTCTCTTGATGTAGGCTTGCAAGCTGGAAGGGCACAATTGCGGTGTCTAGAAGTAAGCAGCTGTGGATGGAGGTGTCCCAATTTTTGCTGTCTTGTGCCATAGGTTGAAATTGTGTGCCCAGTGGAGACTCACAGAGGCACCCACGAGCCATCTGTCAGGGTGGTGGGGCTCAGGAGGCCTGCACTCTGGAAATGTGTGACTGTGGTATTCAGAGTTCTGTAGCTGAGGGGTGGGAAAACTCAGCTTTTGCTGCTGCCTGTGTGGTTGGATACACGTATCACCAGTGGTGGCACACGGGGGCACCCGTGGTGTGTTTGTCCACAGGGTTTCCTGACACACTCTGAAGAGCCCTAGCACTGAAGCCACTCAGTCTAGGTGTCTGTGGGCAGACATCCAGGATGAGTGAATTCACAATTTCTACTTCTGGGGGAGTGAGTCCCTGTTTGTCCAAGATTGCACCCAGTGGGTGCTCACAGTGGCTCCCAAGAGTGTCCTGTGTCTTGATGAGTTCAGGGGTTCTGTGAGCTTGGAATATGTGCCTGTGGAAGTCCTTTTGCTGGTGGGGAGCTCTGACACACTCTGAGGAACCCTGGCACTTAAGTTGTGTAACTAGGTTATCTGTGGCAGTTATTTAGGAAGAAGGGATTCAGAATTTCTATTGTGAGGCAGCACGCCCTTATCTGTACAAAATCACAATGAATGGGGGCTCACAGCAGTATTCAAGAGCTGCCAGTGGAGTGGTGTGCCCAGGAGGCCTGCACACCAGAAATTAACACCTGTGGTGTCCGGAGATCTGCTGCTAGGAAGGGGGGAAATTGCACTTACTTCTGTGGGAGTGGTGCACCTTTGGAGGTAGAGGTCCCAGGGTCCTCGGGTCTGCAGGTAGAGCAGCAGGATTTTGGCTGGAATGACTGCTGGTTCGTGGGCAGTGTCCAAGGCCTGGGTGGTGGTGCTGATGAGTTCCAAGAAGAGGCCACTCTCCCCTTCAAGATGGTGTGGGCTCCGTATCTGAGTCCCACAGTCTGGGGAATGCCTGCAGAGGTGGTAGTCTCTCCCTGTCCAAGAGAGCCTGGTCTGCCAGCCCATGCTGCTCCTGCCTAATTTAACTGTCCCTCATTCACTCACATACACACACACACACACACACACACACTACATATCCACACACACTCCTTTCATCCCCTCACTCATTCACTTCCTCTCCCTCACCTCTGTCTTGCCAGCCACCATCTTTTCTCTATTATGCTTTTATATCCATATAACTGACTTCAAATTTGAAAGTGGTATGCCTATGAAAACACTGTGTTATTTTCAGAATAATTCTACTTGCTTTCAGAAAAATAGTACTATTTTAATATTGATTAAATATCTAAGTTCTGTAGAATTTTCTCCTCAGAATAACAATATATTCATTCATATATAAAAGTCTGATCATCTTAGGACTCAATACATATCCTAAGATTGAATTGGTAGATGTATTTTTTAAATTCTGCTACACCTTAAAACATAGTTACTTTTCTTTTATATAAGTTTTTTTAAAACATTTTTTTAAAATATATTTTATTGATTTTGTACAGAGAGGAAGGGAGAGAGATAGAGAGTTAGAAACATCGATGAGAGAGAGTCATCGATCAGCTGCCTCTTGCACACCTCCTACTGGGGATATGCCCGCAACCAAGGTACATGCCCTTGACTGGAATCAAACCCAGGACCTTTCAGTCCCCAAGCCAACGCTCTATGCATTGAGCCAAACCGGTTTCGGCTTCTTTTATATAAGTTTTAATAAGTCCTAAAAGTATTATACAGTTTGAAGGCTGGAAAAAAAAATACATAACTGAAGGTTAGTCAGAAGGTTTTGTCTCATACAAATTTAAACATTTTTCATTCTCAATGAAGTCTATCAGACAGAAAGGTTTTGACCTGGTTAATAGACAGAGAAACAAAGGGTTTTTTATTGTCTTTGTATTCTAGCCCTCTAGCAGCTGATAAATATTTTAACTGCATCTTCCACATACAGCATTATGCCATGTTCAAAAGTATTTTAACTAGTTTTCAAATGTAGGACTTAATTACATAAGCTTTTCTTTCAGAACAGTTTAGCAGAAGAAAAACTGTCTGTTTTAGTAAAAGAAGATGACACTAGAATGAACAGGTCTGAATTTTAATCATTGTACCCCCTTGAGAAAGTAGTTTTACTTCTCTCAGAAAGTGTTTGCAGGTTACAAAATGAGTATCTCTCTTGTAGACATCAACAAATAATATATGGCCCTGATCATAAGAGTTGCTTTAAAAATGGTAGCTATGATTATCCAACTAGCCATCTTAAATAAAGCATTAATTTTCCCTTAAAACTAAATTTAGGTAAGTATAATTAGCCTTAATTGTTAATAATAATAGTAGTAGTAGTAGTAGTAGTAGTAATAGTACTATTTTATACTCTCATTTGTTCATTTTATATGTGTGTCTTTTTTTACTGGAGATCTATTTTGCTATGTCTGTATGGTAGGCACTGGAACTGTGGCTTGATTGAAAAATGTAATCTTGGATGGATCTAAAGGGTATTATGCTAAGTAAAATGAGTCAAACAGAGAAAGACACATACACTATGATTTAACTTACATGGGAATCTAAAAAAATCAAACAAAAAACACCACCCAAAACAAAACAGAAACAGACTCATAGAAATAGAAAACAAAGTGATGATTCCTGGAGGATGGTAAGTGGGGGAGTGGGTGAAACAGGTGACGGGATATAAACTCTCAGTTATAAAACAAATAAATCATGGGATACAATGCACAGCATAAGGAATATTATAATGACTATACGGTGACAGATAGTTACTAGACATATCATGGTGATCAGATAGTAATGTATATAAATGCTAAATCACTGTTGCACACTGAAAATTATAATATTCATATCAAGTTTACTTTCATTAAAAATAGAAATATCTTTTTTCGTGGAGTTTAAATTCCGACAACAATTTTTTTTTTAAATAAAGTAAATGTTACTGTAGCAATGAAAGTACTGTTGAGCAAATGAAGCAGAGTGGTGGACTAATATGGAGGGAAATGAAGACAACTTTAGAAAAAGTGGTGGGAGGAGACCTCTTTGAGTGGTGATATCTGGGCAGAGTCAGGAAAGGTAGAAGGAAGCCGGTGTTAGCCTGAGAGAACAACATGAGGTACAGAGGAGAACAAGCCGACAAGCCCGAGGCAAGAAGAGCCCTGTGACTTTGATCTAAACAGAGGCTGACTGGTTAGAGATGAACTGAGGATCAGGGCAGAGGCCACCTCCTGTAAAGACTTGCCAGCTGTAGCAAGACTAGGGAGCTTTGAAGCAGCCAAGTTTAAGTTTAAAATAGTTTTCTAGGTGGCCATTATTGCAGGTGCCAAAGGGAGCAATGTGGGATCAGATGAATAGTAGCCAATTAAGTGATGAGAAATAGTTGAAATATAACTTGAAGCTAGAGCTGATGGAGGTGAGGAAAAGAAGAAAATCAAGAAAAGCCACTACTTTTTGTCTTAAGTGAAGGGGAAAGGGGGGAAGGCTGGGAGAAAGAGGGGGGCTATTATACTATGCATTGAACCAAGAAGGGGGGGGTGTAATTTAAGAATATCAGTCAAGTAAAGGTACAAAGGAAGCAAATGGATACTTTACACATTTATTATTGGGCTTCTGTTTGTTTCAAAAAATATTTTCTATATTTTCCATGTGGCAAGAATTGTTTATGGTGAATATACTCAAAATTGCTGAAGTGAACTTTATCATTGTCTCAGTAATTTGACCGATAGAGAGGTCCTCTGCACTATATTTACTTTAAAGGAATTCCCTAGATTTCAAAGGTATCTTCCTGAAATTTCCTGAATCTTTCCCAAGTCAACAATCATAACCTACTCGGCATACGACACATGGCAGCCCCACAGAGAAAGCACCTGCCGAGGGACCTCTAGTTGTCTATGCTATCTTAATGTATTCAAGATGTGAGATTGTTCTAGACTCTCTAAAGCAGGATTCAGAAAACTGCAGGCCAAATCCAGTCCTCACCTGTTTTTTTAAGTACTGTTTCATTGGAATGCAGACATCCCTTTACTTCAGGTATGATGTGTGGCCGCATTCACACTACAGCTGTAATGTGGGGTAGTTGCTACCAAGACTTATGCGCCACGAAGCCTAAAATATTTACTATTTGTCCCTTAAAGTCAAAGCTGACTGACCCTTGCTCTAAAATATATTGTAATCATGAAGCCCCACGATCATATTATTTAAAGGAAAGAGAATCACAGATGAGCTAAGTTCTATAGTTATTTACCACTTGAAATAATTATGAGTAGATACGATACTCATCATTTAATTTTAATGATTTTCTTTTCTTTTCTTTCCTTAAAAGCTGAAAATCAGAGTTTAGTCAATACAACAGAAAGACCAGGTAAGTGAATGTTTTTATACTCTGAGGATGTTTGTATGTAAAATACCCAAAACAAGACAAAGTAGATCAACCAGTTTGAGGACAGGGTGAAATAGTACAGGGAACACATTATATAGCAACTCAAATGTTTATTAGAGCTTGGGTTTAAAAATAAACGCAGACTAGGGGAACACACAAGAATGTGCCTGAATATTCTGTGGCTTTAGTGAGTGGAATCAGCCCTGGTATATGGATGAAGCCTGTGGAATTGTCCTCTAACCAGAACCTGCTTTTCCTGGTCTGTCTCTATGGTTGGCATGCCCTTTCCCAGAACTATAATGTGTCGATGAGCTATCTTCTCTGTATTTCCTAACAAAGCCTGGTCCTGGCATTCAAAGAGATGATGTTATAAACCACAGTTACAGCCTAAAATGTTGTCATGCCAAGAAGTGCTCATGTTTTGCCATCCTTAGTTTTAAACGGAATGAATTTCAGATGACGGGACAGCAGAAATTGAAAAAGATAATTGGGGAGGGGAAGATGGTAATGTTAAATCTTCCTGTTGTTTTGAAATAAAAAATTATTTGGGGGATTTTTATCTTCCCATATCATATCTGGTACTTTACTAAATGGCAAGTCCCTTAGGTTCTCATTTCTGGTCATCTCTGGTATTTATAAAATGAGAAATATATGAAATAAATATATTCAAGATGTGAGATTGTTCTAGACTCTCTAAAGCAGGATTCAGAAAATTGCAGTCCAAATCCAGTCCTCACCTGTTTTTCTAAGTACTGTTTCATTGGAATGCAGACACCCTTTACTTCAGGTATGATGTGTGGCCGCATTCACACTACAGCTGTAATGTGGGGTAGTTGCTATAGAAGATTATGTAACGTTTTTTAAAAATCAGAAAAATAAAGCCATGAAAACTTTAAGTGAATCTAATTTTCACAGCAAATGTCCTAAATAATATACCTTCTAATTTTAGTGTTCAAAGAATTCAAAACTGAAGTGATTATGCTTTTAATTTTTAATTATTTATTTTCTACACTAGAGGCCCGGTACATGGAATTTGTGCATGGAAGGGGGTGTGTCCCTCAGACCAGCCTGCACCCTCTCCAGTCAGGGACGGGACCCCTCGAGGGATGTCCAATTGCCTGTTTAGGCCCAATATTGGTGGGCCAAAACAGGCAGTCAGACATCCTTCTCACAATCCAGAACTGCTGGGACCCAACTGCTCACCTGCCTGCCTGATTGCCCCTAACCGCTTCTGCCTCCAGAACTCTAACTGTGAGTTCAGAGTTCATCTGGAGATGGAAAGACCCACTATAAAGTGACGAAAGGCTGTTTATTACTTAGAGACTTCATGTGGCTATTACAAGTTTAAGCAATGATGGAATTCACTTTTCTTTAGTGTTATCATTTATCCACAGACTTGTCCTTGTAAATAAACCTCTTTATTTCTTTGATAAAAGACCTCAGCTCTGAAGAAAAATGGACAAACATGTTTCAGAGTATTAGAAAAGAAGTAAGCCATTTGCCCTTAATTTTGTGGAAAATACAACTATATTACTTGGGGTTCTCCAGAGAAACAGAGTAAATAGGATGGATGGATAGATGATAGATGATAGATAGATGATAGGTAGATGATAGATAGATAGATAGATAGATAGATAGATAGATAGATAGATAGATGATAGGTAGATGATAGATAGATAGATACATAGATAGATAGATAGATAGATAGATAGATAGATAGATGATAGGTAGATGATAGATAGATAGATACATAGATAGATAGATAGATAGATAGATAGATAGATAGATAGATAGATAGATAGAGATTTAATTTTGGAGCCTGAGAAGTCCTGAGATCTGTAGTTAGAAAGCTGGAGACCTAACGACCCAGGAAAGTTGACAAGTGGACAATGATGGTTTCACTGGCACAAGCCATTAACCTTTCCTCTAATAAAAGTGTCATTCCAGTCTACATGCAACAGCCTGAGAACCAGGAGATCCAAAGTTACCAGTCGGAAAGCCAGCAGGTTTGAAAATAAAGAAGATCTAGAATTTCAGTTTGAGTCCAAAGCCAGAGAAAGACTGATGTCCCAGCTCAGGGCAGCCAGGCAGAAAGAGTTGAAGGGAGGGTCAACCTTATTATTCTTGAACTGGATTCAGTCAATTAGATGAGAGCCTACATTGGGGGGCAATCAACTTTACTCAATGACTGATTCAAATGTTAATCTCATCCAAAAAACACAACCACAGGCACACGGAAAATAATGCTTGACCAAATATCTGGTCATTCCAAGGCCAAGGCCAAATTAACACATAAAACGAATCCTTACAGCAATATTCCCATAGTGACAAGCACAACCTGTGAAGGGTTTCATTGTACGTATTTTCTTCACTCTCATTCACTGTATTTTAGAAGCCCTACTGCATTGTAGATATCATTTTTTATGGAAAATCAGAAGCCAGAACAGATATAAGTATCACCAAACCTGACTACTGGCGTTTGAAAAGGAGAATGCTTTGTCCTGTCATATTCACTGTTCTCAGCACCCTATGCAATGCCAGTGGATTGGTTGCTGATTTCCAGGAATTCATATAATGTGAAGCATGAATCATTCTATGCAGATGATTGTTTACCTGAGTATTCTAATGTTGAATGTCAGATTCAAAGCAATATGTATGTAGAGGTGTGCTATTGTTTTTTAATTTGGAAATTTTATGATGCTTGAAAGATTAGTTGAAAATAAAAGAACTCACTTAAGGAATGGGAACTATATCAATATTTATGTGGTAGGGAGCATCTGCCATAAGGTCTCATTTAGGAAATTGTATAAATCTGGATATGGCTAAGTGGTTTCTCCTCTGGTTCAGAGATCTGCTGAGTCTCTAAGACATCTACATTGTTCTTGTGTCTTTCCATTCCACACTGAAAGGCTATAAAAACTCAGTCTCAACTGATTAGCTGCTCAGCATTCACTTTAAGAACCAATATTTTCAACTGTGGGTATCATTATGGGTGTGCACTCCTCCAATAAGCTCTACAGTGAGTTTTATTTCAATACATTAAGAATATGTCTCCTTGTATGCACCTGCATGGTCTGGTTTGGCCTGTTGAAGGAAATATGTATTCAATTTGTCCTGAAGGAAAGAATACATTCTTGACAGGAGCCTAAATTGAAATAGATTATATTTCATGTAACAAAAATAAGTGGCATGTACTTATAACTCATTCCTACTAAAATGCAGCGGCTTAGACAGCATTGGGCTGTGGTTGACTACACAGGCTCTAGAGCCTGCAATCAAATGCTAGTTCTGCCTCTTACCTGCTGTGTGACCTTGGGGGAATAAATCTCTCTAGGTTTCACTACAATGCAAATATTAACAATACAATAGTTGAAAGTTAATATTTGTAAAACACTTAGAATAATGTTTGGCACATAATATCCAGGGCTTGAAAACAAAATCTTTTTTAAGTCCATATTTTGGATCCCTTGCTTTTACTTTCTCAGAAAGCATATGGCACAGTTACATATTCAAAAGCTTCTCAGTGTTTTCAGGCCGTTCTATCCAAAGTGTGAATCTGAGTTAAGATGATGAATCTATGTTTAGAAAAGGGTGAGAACATTCTAAACCTTTCAGAATGCTGAGGAAAAGAAATGTAATTGATCACTGAGAATGATACCACTAACAAGTAAGATAACTCAACTCAATCCAAATGCACAGGTAGATATATATCTACCCTGAGAACACCCCCTCCCCCAGTGCATGAATTTCGTGCACCAGACCTCTAGTATTATTATAACAGTTTTGGTTCTGAGGGTCTCTTTATTACAATAGATTGTTCTGAGGGTTCCTACTTTAAACAGCCAGCTCCAAGTTCTGGCCCAAAGCTTGCAAATTGAATTTAAATCATGACACAACATATCTGCAATTCAGTAATTAATATAATCACCAAAAGTCAGGGCTTAAGAGCAAACCCATATCACCTGAGAGTGCCATCCACTCCAGTTTTTTCCATCCCTGACTAGAGCAAAGTAACATCTGAAAACAGAGGTTTGATGTATTTTTACACTTAAAATTTTGGAGAAAATTAGGTAAATTGGCTTTGGTTGAAAGATACAACTCTCCAATGGCCTAATCATAGCATAATAGGATATTATAAAAGATAAATTGATAAAATATAATTTAAAATATTTATGTAATTTATAATAATATTATCTATAAGAATAACAGTGTAATATGTTAATTAGACCAGACAGACAAACCATCTTCTGAATGTCATTCTGGACATCCTTCCAGATGACCTTCCAGATGAAGCTGCAACAAGCTGGAGCTGAGGCAGAGGTTGCTGCCACAGTGGACAGAGGCTAAGGCAGAGGTGGTTAGGGGTGATCAGGCAGGCAGGAAGAGTGGTTAGAGGAGATAAAGTAGGCATGTGAACAGTTAGGGGTGATCAGGCAGGCAGGCAGGCAGGAAGACAGGCAGGCAGAGTGGGTAGGGGTGATTAGGCAGGCAGGCAGGTGAGCGGTTAAGAGCTAGCAGTCCAAATTGCAAGATGGATGTCCCCAAGTTTAGGTTGGACATCCCCAAGGGGTCCCAGATTTCTAGAGGGTGCAAGCAGAGCTGAGGGAACCCCCCACCCAGTGTACAAATTTCATGTACTGGACCTCTAGTATATAATATAAAAGGTTCAAGTACTCTTCTAAGAAATTTAAATCATTTTTACTCATTTAATTTGTATAACACAGTGATGTAGAATTATTATAATCACCATTTGTAGATATGAAAACTCAGACACAAAGAAGTTAGGTGACTTGCCCAAGATTCCACAGCAAATAAGTGCAACATTCAAATTAGAAACTAGGTACTCAGTCTTCAAAATCCTGCTCTTAATCATCTATTATACCTCTCTTGTACTTTCTCAACCAATACTAGTATAGTAGTAATGTAGGATAATAAAGTATTAGCAAAATCCACAGAGATTATCCGCTCTGAACACACTGTGGTTCCTGCTATCTTAGTCACGAATGAATTACATTAGGCTCACAATTGATGAATTCAGCCAAGATACATAATTGCATTAATATGATCATGCTAATGGACAGGATTTGTCAAATTGTGAGTAAACTCCCATTAGTGTATCATGAGCAGGATTTTTAAAAAATTAAATAAAAGAGAATAGAAAGAAACAGAAGACACTACACGTAATAGAGGTAAATTGTAGGTGTGTGTGTGTGTGTGTGTGTGTGTGTGTGTGTGTACTGGATTCAGAAATTGTTTATTAACTGAAGGTTGAGGTTAAAGGAAAAACAAATATATATATAAGTCTTTGTTTAAGGATCCAATGAATTCTCCTTTTAAGAAGACTTAATTCTATTGCCTACCTATAGATCATTTTCAATAACAATTGGCACTGGATCATCAACACATTTTAAATAGGAAAATTGGAGCTCCCTCAGAAGAAGACAGATTATAGTTAGAACTGTAGCTGCCACTTAACCTGTCTTTGGGAAGGTAATAAAGTACAAGTCTTAAAAATTAACCTTTGGGAAATCCCAGATGGATTAATGCCATTGGTTACTTCATCAGCCATCTTATATTATACTCTACCAACACAATAGAAAAACATTCATTTTCAATAAAATCCTGGACACTGAAATTATAAACGAAAACTATGAAGTATTCAGCTAGTTCCCTTCTTTTATTTAATATTCTTTTTTTTTTCTTTTTTTTCTTTTTTTTACTGCCTGACTAGTGCACTAGTCCAACATTTTCCTTTTCCTTTGTTTTTATGGGCATATATCTAGCTTCCTCCCACAGATCTCTTACACGGCAAGAATGGTACAAACTCTAAAAATTATTCTTCCCCCACAGATGTCAAAAATGCATGAGCATACAGTGCATGCCAGGCTGTGGGTGGCACAGAAGGAAAGATCCAAGGCAGTCCTATGCAATATCGTTTTCTTTGGGGAAACTATACATGGCCTCAATACTCCTGAGGGGCCATGATTATGAGATGTCTTTTAGTTCAGCCAAGCTGCCAGCTACATTTTACTGCACACTCACTGTATTCTGAGCTCCATGTGGGATATGGTGGGAATTGTGGTCTTCTCATTCCAGAAACTTGCAATTCAGTAAAGAGGCAAGGAAAACACGTGTGATGAAAAGACATCACTTTATAGTACAAGAAAAAGTGGATGACTTTTCAAAAAATTTTAAATTTAATTTTATCCAAAATTTACAAGAATAAGTTCTATACACTTATAAAATATTTGATTATTTGTATTTCTTTGAAATTCATTGATATTTGTGGGTTTTGAATTATATTTTTTAATTTTTTTTTGTTTTAGTCCTGAAAATGGCAAATGTTGACTTAAGCAAACAAATATAATTATAATAAATTTAATTTACATTTCTTTGAAAGAAAAGATTTTGAGTAGTGGTAAAAATGTATCCAAGCAGCAGATACTCTAGATAAGCCACATAAATGTAAACCACTACTGAGCTTTAAAGATGAAAACAAAGGATTTTTTTTTTATTTTCCCCCAACTTTTAACCATAGCCTAAACTGCAGTCTTTCTCTTCAACAAATAAGTACCACTATAGAAATGAAGTTCTGGGTATTTATATTCATCATAAGTATGTGTGATGGAAAAAATCACTATCACCCAAAGTTATACTATCTGAAATGTGAATAATGCTTTTGTATAGGTTTTCATCACAGAAGAAGCTCAGGCTGTAGGTGGTACAGATAAGAGAGGTACTCAAGTTTTGTTTGGCCTTTCTTGAAGATGTAATACTGATATCCAGGTTTTGATATTCAGAATGTAATTGTAACAGGAGGAAAAGATGAAGTTAGGATTTAATGTACTATTTTATGTATCCTATTATTCAGCAAGAAACCGTTTTCATAGATTTTCAGAAATGCAAACTCTTTGAATCTGCAAAGAAATACAATAAGGAGAGTTAACACTATAATTTGACTCTGGGTATCTGATATTTTTCTTATAGTTAGCACTTCACAACCAGATGCCTCACCTTCTAAAACCAGTATATTGTTCTCAATATCAACAGCACCTGCAGAAAACATCACACAATCTCAAGGTATGACTTCTGTGTGCATGACTAGAAATTCACTTTGCTCAACTCCTTATCATCTAGAAAACCCTACCAATCTTTAAAAATAATAACAACAGCTTTATTAAATTATAATTGCTATTCAAAAACACACATCTACAAAAGGGGAGAGATGAGGAAACTGTTGCAGGTGATGGGTATGTCTATTGCTTTAATTGTGGAGATGGTTTCATAGATGAATGTCCAAACTCATAAAATTGTATATATTAACACCCTGCCAATCTTGATTTGCAAAACAGAATTCTTTCAGAATGAGATCAAATGTATTCATTTGAAGCATCCTACCTATAGATCACAGAGACTTACTTTGAGGCCATGGGGGATGGAGGGAGGATTATGAGGGTTGGCACATGAACCAAAGGTAACCTATTTTTTCTTTCTTAAAATAATAGGCACTGAGAGTGAAAAAAATAATGCAAGCCTCTCTTCAACCAACTCTTCTCATTCCAGTGAGTAACAGACATATCTTCATTCATAGACATAGATATGCAGAATATTTTAATGTTACCCATAAGGGAAGGGATTGAATTACAGATAGACTTTTATCAGCTTTACTGAACCTGCAATCCCATTAAAATCCTGTCTAACTGCCACTTGCTTTGAGAATTTCCTACTTATGTGTCTTAATGAGCACACTTTTGAGATTATTTTCTTACCTTAGTGCTAAGCAATTACCACCAAACGTCAAGGTGAATTGATGAGACTAGTCTCAGATAAACCAAAGTATACAGACAGAGATCTCCATAACAATGAATTGTTTACCTTCACAAAGCCTTGTCTTCATGTTAAAATGGCCTTTTAAGAAATGTTACTTTGTACAAACATAGATATATGTCATATAAGATACAGGTAGGGCAAAAATAGGTTTACAGTTTTGAATGAAACACAGAGTTCATTCTTGTATTGTTATTTATTAATTAATTATTGTTTTATTTACCATATGAATAACTGTAAACCTATTTTTGCTCCAGCCTGTATATGATTATGCTAGGCCTAAATAGACTTAATTTACCTGGAAATTAAGACTCATATTAATATATATGAAGCTGAGATGATAATACATATGAAGCTGGCATGATAGTTTAGGTAAAGCCATTCTACTTAATAGATCAGAATTGCATTTATTGACCCAATGATTTATGGTTTCTTCATTTGGGAAGCACTAATGATCTCACTGAAGGTCTAATATGAACCTACAACTTACTTAAAACAAATATTTAATCATAACAATGCAAGTGAAAACCAACCTACAAATGAATTGGTTTACCATTCTATTCCCTGATAAATATGAGGGACACATAAGCAAGCAGATGAGAATTCCTCACTAAATGCTAACTATAATTTCTATAGCTCTAGCTTTACCCCAGGACAATGTTTTCGATTTATCACTGTTGTTTCAATCTGGAAAATGACTGGCAGAAAAGAAGGCAGATACTAAAATAAATTGATTAATAAATAAATAGCAAAACCCTCCTATTAATAAAAACAGGAAAAAACATAATTGACCAGATATGTATGTACAGGTGCACTTACATGGACATTGTTCTTGAACCATTTGTTCATATTTAGAAATAATGTGCACTGTAATACCCAATTATATCTACTAACATTATTTTATACTTTTTCTGGTTCTAAGATATTACTATGCAAAGATGTTTGTGAGTTTTTTAAACAGCCAACTATTGGTAGTTCCAGTATTGGCTATATAAGTCCTTTTTTCCAATAATTTGGCTATAAAGAAGTAAAGACTATATGAGTGCATGTGGGTCGGACTATAGGTCTAGAGGGCATCTTCTCCCTCTTGTCTCTCATCTCCTCACTGCCCCAGTCTCCAGAAGAATGGAGAACTCTCTCTCTTAGGTTTGAAATTTTATTTCAGAAAGGCTACAAGACTGACATCAAGTGGATACGTCAGAAACGACAACTAAAGCAAAACCCATGAATCAGATAGATCTTTGCTTAAAATACAATATTTTAAATAGAAGGATGTTTAAAGAAGAAAGCATGTGTGTTTTTGCCTCCGTTCATAAACTATTGTGAAACTCAATTGTCCTTCTAACTGACAATGTCCCCATTGCTTCTTAGGTATTATTCTGCCAGTGGTTATTGCTCTAATTGTAATAACACTTTCAGTATTTGCTCTGGTGGGTTTGTATCGACTGTGCAGGAAGACAGACCCAGGTGGGTAACAGTGTTTTGCTACCTTTTGTTTTCTGATAAAAGAATGCTCATGCTAGATCTAAACTTAAATGTATACTCTTCAGGGGAGGCGGGAATTGTAGAAAGAAATAAAATGCCATATTGCTTGATCTCAAAAAATAGAGGGAAATGAACGGAGAAATCCATGGAATGCTGGTGAATGTAAAGAATCGGGATTAACTACTAGTGGCAGGTATCAACTGCTAACAAATACCTTTCAATGAAACAGCCCGTTTTGTGGGCTGTTGGGGGAATACGGGAGTCCAGAAGGCATGAAATGGTATGCCTTACCTATTGTGAATGTTTGTTCCTTTTCTGGGTAACAGAGCATAAAGCAAAGTCTCACTGATAACGTAGTTTAGGGGCCCATAATCTGAAGAAGAGCTTCCTGCGACTCACTTCCCTTCCAGGAAGCGCAGCTTCCTTCTGATGAAAATGTCTTCCTTCGTGACTGCATGTTCTGCTCATTGATTGAATAGGTTCCTCGGGACTGAACATTATTGCAATTTTTATTAAAATTCTAGTTTGAAATTATTACCCTTCTTAACCTCTCCAGTGGTATTTGGAAGTCTTTTCCCTTTTCTTCAGCCACTGCTCTCTTTTAAACATCCCCACTCTTCATTTTCTTCCTTTTGATGTTTCATCTTCTCCCTGCTTCTGAAATACTTATGAATCCTGTAATGGCATTCTATTTTTTATGTTTTTTTTTAAATAAATGTTTAATTTTAAAATAGATTTACCTTCACAGAAACATTGCAAAGATAGTTACAAAGAGTTCCCACATACCATATAGCTGTTATTCTTATTATTAATATGATATAGCCCAGCTAATGTAGCTCAATGTTTGAGTGTTGAACTATGAACTAGGAGGTCACCAATACAGTTTTATTCCAGGTCGGGGCACATGCCCAATTTGCAGGCTTGATCTCCAGTAGAGGGCATATAGAAGCAGCTGATCAATGAGTCTCTCTCATCATTGACTAGAGGTCCAGTGCACGAAATTTGTGCATGGGTAGGGCACTTAGCAGCTGCTGGCTGCCAGCTGATGGCCAGGGCCTGCCTTCCTTTGTTCCAAGCCACCCCCTGATAATAGGCACACTTCATAGGGAACAGTCGAGCTCCAGGAGCTCGACTGTTTCCTATGAAGTGTGCCTATTATCAGGTCAGTCAAACTCCCACCCAAGGGAGTAATTTGCATATTAGCTTTTATTACATAAGATTTTATATATTTTTCCCTCTTCTTTCAGCTCTGAAATCAATAAAAATATATAAAAATAAAAAGATGACATGTTTATCACAATGAATTAACTAATATTGGTTGATACATTATTATTAACTAAGGTCCCTACTTTTTTTTTAAGATTTCTTCCAATCTTATTGTCTTTTCTCAGCTCCAGGAAATTGAGCTTTTTACTTAACATTTCATCTGAATCACCCTTCAGTTCCCATGGCTTACACTCTCTTCTGTTATCTTAAACATAAATCTATTTTCCATCACAGATCCTGCCCTGCTTGTGTAATGCGGTGTTATGTATCCATGTCTTTGTCCATGCTATTCCTTCTCCAAGAACAGTGGTCAACAAACTCATTCATCAACAGAGCCAAATATCAACAATACAACTATTGAAATTTCTTTTGAGAACCAACATTTTTAAACTTAAACTTCTTCTAATGTCACTTCTTCAAAATAGACTCACTCTGGCCATAATATTTTGTAGAAGAGCCACACTCAAGGGGCCAAAGAGCTGCATGTGGCTCTCTAGCCACAGTTTGCTGACCACTGTCCTAGAATTTTCTGTCCACTTTGTAACTTTCATAAAATTTCAGCCTCCCATTTGTCCATTAGCACCTACCTCAAATACCAATTTAATGTATCTTTCTTTGCATAACACATCATCTCTTTGAGCAGAATTCTATAGAATTTTATGGAATTCATCATGTAATAACATAGTTACTTTGCCATGTACCTGTCTCCCCTTGGTCTGTTCTAGATTCTATAATAAAAATACCGAGACTGTGTGGCTTAAACAATAAACATTCATTTCTCACAGTTCTGAGAAGGTGCCAGATTCGTGTCCGGTGAGGGTACTCTTCCTGGCTAATATATGGCCCCTGCTCACTATGTCTTCACATAGTGGAAAGCAAAGAAGTACTCTGCAGTCTTTTTTTCATAAGGGTGCTAATCCCAACTGAAGACTCAACCCTCTGACCTAATTAACTTCCAAAGGCCCAACATCCTGATGACATTATATTAGGCATTAAGGTTTAACATATGAATTTTAGGGGAGCACACACATTCAGTCCATAATAAAAGGCAGCCTCTCTAGTCACACATCATGTATTATTCACATTGCATTGTGCATAATATAAGACAGAATCTACTATAAGCTTGTTGAGTTAAATTTCCATAAAATAGAATGTTGCCTTTCCTCATTTTAATTCTAAATATTTCACTAGCAGAACTCTTAAGTTTCAAATACTTTTAAAAAGTAAGCATCCATTTTTATAATATATATAAGCTACACTGTTTACCCCATAGACATTGTGCCCCCTGGATACTAATAAAGGCTGTTCCTAAAACCAGTGTCTATGCACTGCATGGGCAGCTTGGCGCAAGAGTGTAACAGTGCAAGGGGAAGTTATGAGACAAAAAACAAACAAACAAACAAAAAACAAAACACACACACACACACACACACACACCCCCAAAAAAACAAAAAAAAACCAAACAAACAACAAAAAAAAACAGTAGTGTTCATATTAGCCCTTGGTGGAGAATGAGAATAAACAAATCAATGACTTTCCCTTTGGGAGTTAGTGAATAAGGACTCTTAATAATGTCTAAAATATATTTTCTTCCTCAGTTTCCAGAAGAAAAAGTATTTTTATAAATCAGTTTAATTTCTCAAAGTTTCTAATCAACCAATACTATTTTTTATGGTAAATCAACTATCCAAGTTGAAGCTTGTGGGTGTTGAGCACATAGAAGAAAAAAAAAAATAGTGTGCTAAATCTATCTGTAAAAACACCCTCTACTAAGAAACTGCTTTGCATAGGAAGATTTGCAAATAAGTTATCTGAAAACTTGACATTTGCTATTAAAGAGGACTCTGGATGAATTGAATCATTGAGGGGGAAAGTGTATAAAATTCCAAGCACTATGAAAAGTAAAATAAAATAAAGTAAATTTACTATAATTATTGAGAATCATTCTGAAGACATACAGTACTTTATAACCAAGTTTGGCAGTTGTGCAATTAGCCAAATCTATTTGGTTTTTATTAACTTTGCTTGCCAAACAGAATTTATAGCATTGCTGTCATTAAATGAGCACCATTAAAACCCCACAGTGATCACTCTTCAAAATGTGGGTGAGACTTCATTAAATTCAGAAAATTGGTAAACCCACTCTGCTCACTGGAAGATAACATCAATCAGAGATTTCAATATGAAATTGAGTTTATCTGGATAATGTTGACAGTAGTCTGAGCTTTAACCCAAATAGAACAGCATATATTCCAAAAGCAGTTTGTTGGTATGTGCCTATATGGTAATAAACCCAATATTACCATATTACAAGGAAAATTATTAAATTAGGCATACAAACAGTAGCACTGCATATTGGAACAGGGCTGTGAGCATCACAGGTGATATCATATAGAGCACTTACAGCAGGAATTGTAAAGTGCTATTAAAGCCCTACTGATGGTAGGAAAGACAAGGTCAGGTCAACTTGGTGAATAGCATATGATATCATGAATTAAATCATTGGAATTAAGAGTCATGGTGGTATGTGACTCTTACCAGGTGAAGCTAAACTAGCCAGAATATTAGTTGAAATCAAGGTCTTCATAATACAACTAGAGGCCTGGTGCGCGAATTTGTGAACCAGTGGGGTTCCTTGGCTGGGTCTGCGGGATGGAGCCCAAATTTGCTCTCTGACAATCCCCTGAGATATCCCAGATTATGAGAGGGCACAGGCCAGGCTGAGGGATCCCACCAGTGCATGATCGGGTCCAGGGAGGATGTGGGAGGGCTCCAGGGTGTGTCTGGCCTGTCTCGCTCAGTCCTGATCACTCAGTTCCAATCAGAGGGACCCCAGCAGCAAGCTAACCTACTAGTGAGAGTATTTGCCCCCTGATGGTCAGAGCATGTCATATTGACTGGTTGACCAGTTGACTGTCTTCTCCCTGGTGGTCAGTGCACATCATAGCGAGTGGTTGAGCAGCCTTAGCATATCATTAGCATATTATCCTTTGATTGGTTGAACAGCTGATTGAACAACCAGACACTTAGCATATTAGGCTTTTATTATATAAGATAGGCCGCAGTGAATACAAGGTTTTAGCATTGCTTCCTGAGGCCATGCTCTTGTGCAGAATGAAACACCAGCATTTCCACTCTAGGCCCAGGTTGTTTTCTACCAGGTCCCATAAGCAGCTTGGAAAAGCATACAGAAGATGAGATGCCATTAGTAGCCGCAGTGATATTTTGCAGAGCACTTTAAAGAGACTGAGTTAGTGCAATTCAGATGCAATTAGAAGTGATATTATAGTTCACCATAGTACAGAGATTTGTGTCTCCAGAAAGTCACGAATAAAGAAATATCAGAAATTCAATTCTCTGGTATAAAAAGGCAATTCATTACTTTGAAGAGAATATTTTTCAGAGGTACTGAAATAAACAGAGACCTTTTCTGGTGTTTGCGGGCTATGTGAAAACAAATAGTTACACCTAGAGATAAGAAACTTAGTGCAGAAGTAAGTTCAGTGGAGTTGACCTACTTGGGACTATCCCGTGAATGAATTAGCCATACCAAAGGAAGGAGTGCTAACCATGTCTGAGAAAATGAACAGTGAGGCAGGGAGTGGAGAGATTAAAGAAGTCAAAAATTGCCTCTAGAAATATCTCTGCACTGAACATGTCAGGGGTCTCAGTTTTGTTTTGTTTTTTGTTTGTTTGTTTGTTTTTGTTTTGTTTTGTAGCCAATCTTCTTATAACTCTAATAATTCTCTCCTCTCCTAGGCACAGCAGAAAATGGGAATGACCAGTAAGTAAAGCTACCTCATTTTTTCTAGAAGCTCTGATTTTATCATTTACATAAGGAAAAGTATTGATTCTTTACTTACACATCTTTGTTTGTTTTTTTAAAGAATTTGTGTAGGAATTATTGTAAATGGAGTTTAACTATTTGTCAGAGTTCTCTCTTTTCAACAGAAATTCCAACAACTAAAAGAGGGCTATTCTTAAGCTATTCAAAAGTGTTAAAATTGAAAATCAAAAAGTGAAATGCAAAAATGGAAAAATGAATATAATTACAATAATAAATATAACACATACCTAGAGTTTTAAGATACCGTATTTTTGGGACCATAAGACGCACCAGTTTTTAGAGAAGGGAAATGAAGAAAAAAAGATTCTGAAACAAATAGTGTCCTAAAATATTTTATGTGCATTAAAACCCAACATCACAGTCATAAACACATGTAATCAACCCTGTAAAGTAAACAGCAGCATTTAGAACCATTTTAGAGCCGGGCAAGCATACAGAGACCACACAGAGCCGGGCAAGTAAAAAAACTTTTTTTTTTTAAGTATATGTGTAGGCTATATTTGGACCATAAGACTCAGGGACTTTTTCCCCCCACTTCTGGGGGGAAAAAAGTGCGTCTTATGGTCCGGAAAATACGGTACTTTCCCTAGGGGATTTTTCAGTATGTTTCTCACAATTAGGGAAAAATCATGCCTGCACCTTGAGACAGCTCTGAGTGGCTTTATTAATAGTAGATGTGCATTCTGCTTTGACTTTTCAAAAACAAGCAAAGCAGTTGTTACCAATCCACCCAACTGTTGCAACCAAGGTGCTATAAAGAGACATTTTTTTAATGAATGTCAAAAACAATTCTGTGCTTAAGTTTACTTTGTCGATATGAATTTGTATCCTGCCTTTATGTAGATGTTTTTGTATGTTCATCAGGCAATGAAACTTAGAAATACTATCCGTAGGTCCCCTACCCTTCTTAATTAGAAATAAAGGTTCTTGGGATGTCCAGGGGGAAAAAGGGGGTTTAAAGGTGTTTAGCATCTGAGAAAGAGGAGGCGGGAACTCTTGGTTAAAATAAACTGCAGTGTTCAGGACCTCGTAAAAAAAGGATACTTCTAGAATTTATCAGCAGCCCCCAAAGTTTGGAAACATGTCTGTGTCTTTCCCTTCATAAATCAAGACTGAAGCCATGTAGCATACAGACCTGTGACAAGTGTTTCCCATGACCCATCTTGATGTTTAAACTATCTGAGGACCATAGCTGTAGCAGAATGATAGAGATTTATTGGCTTGATTCCAGAAGTGGAAAGTGCTTTGTGTGTGTCTGCATGTGAAGAGACACAGGTTTTGTCTTAAAAACATATATATATATATATATATATATATTGTGTGTGTGTGTGTGTGTGTGTGTGTGTGTATCTTCTTCATTCTGTGTATGTAATGTTTACTTTCTATCTCAGGCATGCCACTCTAATTACTATGGTATTAATTGAATGTTTTCTGTTCCAAATAGACCTCAGTCCGATAAAGAGAGTGTGAAGCTCCTCACTGTGAAGACAATTTCTCATGAGTCGGGTAAGCTCCCTAACTGTGGATTAGATGAAAAAGTGTTATTTCAAAGTTCTACTCGGATTTTGTTCATGTTGAAACATAACTGGAAAGCATAGCTTCTTTAGAAATGGTCAATTAGCAATTCCCAATAAATGTCAAATTTTCCTTTAAAGGAAAGACAAGCCCTATAAATATAATTTTTGGGTAAAATTTTTTGGATTATCTGGCTTTTAATAAACATCTGTAGACAGATCCAAGCCCTTTGTATGAGCCAGTCTTTTAAGAGAGACCTTCATTCATGATGTATCTGGTTCCTTTATTTCTACCTGGTTCTCTCAGAGGTAACCATCTAAATGAGCAGAGGGGTAAAATTCTTTCATAGGGTGATTGGAAACCAATCACAGGTTCCCTAGCCAAGAAGTAGCCTAGCCTATTCCACTAGATCAAAGAAAAGGAGCCTAAATATGAACTAGTCCTGAAGAAGTTCATGAAGGATCCTGAGCGTGACTATACCATTTATCAAGAAGAGTTCTCAGAATCTGCCTGTGGCTTCTAAACAAGCATAACAATAACATCATGTCCATTGGGAATTTAACCTAACCTGGAACCTGGGCTCATCAAGCTGGGCTCAGGCTGGCTACCCAGCACGTGGAAGAAGCCTCTGTGTGGGAACCCTTGGCTTTCCTGGTGAGGAGGGGCTGGGATCAGAACTGCCCACTCTACCATCCTTGTCAACCAGGGAAATGACAACGCACACCAAAATTGAGGCTTCCAGAGGGGAAGACTCTAAAGAACCTTTTGTTTCTTAATGGCATATTTCATATCTGACTCTTCTTGAAGGACCAAGGAAAATTCCATATCAGCTGACATCTCCCGTTCTCATAGTAATCGAAGCAATAAATGGAATAAACTATAGTGTGATAATTAAGACTCTTAACTCTCCATAAGGAAGCATTATCATCATGGAAATAATCAGATCTGTCCTCTGGTACTTTTCTGGTATTTCCGCCAACTTCAATTTAGGACTCACATCTCATTTAATAACAAAACCTTTCAATGGACAACCCAACTGATTACTGTGGAAATATTTTATCAGATAACAAGATTGATTTGGCAATTCAAAGGTTTCAACAGCCTAGAATTAATCTGAAACATAATGATCTGCAAATGCTCTTTGTGCCACCACAATTCTTACTAAAGTCTGGTTCCTGAGACACAAATAAATATCTCTCCCTTAATTTTCAAACTTATTCAAATAGGATTTCTTTATAAAATTAGGCTCACCAAGTTAACAGAAGTTTTATTATTATAATTGTTTTTACTTAAATATCCTTTGCCCAACAATGACATCTTTCCTAAAATATAACTAAAATAAAATCTGAAATTTTTAGGTTTGATATAACTTCACAGATTTAGCCCAATTTCCCCCTATCTCCTATATAAACGTTTAAAGAAATTTTTAAAATGTAGAAAGCAATATGATAGAACAAATACCTGAGTGACACATTTTATGTTATTTGCTATTATGAAAGAATTAATGTTCCTAAGTGGTAACAGAATGAAATTTGAGCTTCCATGACCATGAGTTTATTGGATTGATCAGTATTTCAATGGATAAACTCTGACCCTCATTTTAGCAGTCAATAAGTCATGTTTCCAAGGAAACAGAGCTTTGTAGCCACCCACCTTTATGGGGAAATGCCAGTGGGTGCTAAATTGTCTGGGTTTCTAGAAGCCTCAGTGAGCCTTGGTAATTGCTCTGGTCATTGTGTGCTAATAACACAGATCCTTGCCCCAAAACCTCCTCTGATTAGAAGATGGTACTCATCTATCCCCATTCTCTGCTTCCTTTGAATATGTTCTTTCACAAACAGTGTTCTTCTGCTGAAAATGTAGCCCCAAAATGTTTACAATTTGATTATTTTAAATTAGGGGTTCTTTAAGTAAAAGAGAAAGCCTAGTAGAATATAACAAGAATGTGTCTTTAGCAAAAATTAAACACCAAACGTGGCAGATCAAGGGGTCTTTTATGAATACCTAAAAGATACCATACAGCTTCAGTAAGGAATGTAGCCAACTTAAACATCCCACAATGACTACAAAATATACATATGACATGATGCATGTTAAATGTGATTCCCACCGACATCACATCTCAGCAAGTTATACACATTATCTTTTTTTTTAATTAAAGGCAATCAGAATTATGAAGAAAACTGCTTAATTAGTTAAAGAAGATAAGACTGCACAGGAAAAAAAAGAAAAGAAAATGCAGTACCTTTGAATTTAGTTTCAAAGCATTGCTTGATTGTGAACCATTTGGAGAAAGAAAAAAAAAATGAGATCTGAATTCATTAAAATATTGTTCGGCTTAAAAACTCTAATAAGTGTGTATTAGCTGAGATTAAGCTGAAACACTTGAGCATGTGCGCCGGGCCTGCCATGCTGTGCCAGACTTCTCCTGCTTGGTTTGAACCACTTAATATGGCCCATGCCCCAGATGTCATTCATCCCCTATCCCTCTGTTCCTCAGTGCACTCATGCTCTTTTGAAGGAGATGATAACTTTGTCTCCTTTGTCTCTCCTATCCCTTGCCCCTTCTTAAATATGGTCAGTACACATTATCAGTATATTATAGTAAATGCACAGTTACTTTTATTTGCTTTTTTTTACAAATTAAAAGTTCATTAACAACAAGAAATAAGCAACAGTAAAAAAAAAATGATTTATGAAGCTTAGATAGATTCAGCTATGTCCCCGGCCCTTCAATATTTGGCTCATTCTCTGCATGCATTCATTTTTGCCATACACATCATTATTATAACTGTACTAATGGCCCAGTGCATGAAATTGAGAGGGCAGAGCAGGGGTGAGAGGGCAGGGTGGGGCGGGGCCAGCTCCCAGTAACTGGACCTTAGCCTTAACCCAACCAATCAGGTCAGCCAAGGTAGTGGCACCACCTCCCCCCCTATAAAACCCATTGATATGTTAAATTCTTTCTCTCTCCCGCCATGCCTTCGCTGGCTGGTGTAAGTGGGACCAAGCTTTGACTAGTCCGAAATAAACACAGGCTTTCTGCAATTGCATCAGATTCGGCTCCCTGGTAGTCTTTGGGGTTTATGACACTTGAGCACAACAAAATTCATGCACAGGGTGGGGGGATGTCCCTCAGCCTGGCCTGCACCCTCTCCAATCTGGGACCTCACAGGGGATGTCTGACTGCTGATCCACAAAGATCTGGCCTGAACTGTCAGTTGAACATCTCTCTCGCATTCCAGGACTGCTGGTTCCTAACCGCTCACCTGCCTGCTTGCTCACCCCAAACTCCCCCCCTGCCAGTCTGCTCACTCCCAACTGGCTTCCCTCGCAGGCCTGCTCACCCCCAATTGCCAATCTCACTGGCTTTCTCCCCCACTAACTGGCCCCCTCTGCTGGCCTGCTGGTCCCCAATTGCCATCCCCCACTGACCTAATCACCCCCAACTGCCCTCTCCTCCTGGCCTGATCTCCTGTGCCTCGGCCCTGCCACCATGGCTTTGTCTGGAAGGATGTCCCAGAAGGCCTCTGGTCTAATTAGCATATTACCCTTTTATTAGTATAGATTGGAAGCAGATGGTTATTGAATCTTTCTCACATTCTCTCTTCCCAATTACAGAGACCTGTAAGGGGATATTAAGGATTGTAATGATTTTCATAAGGTTTGCTTTACATTTCTGGAAGACAGTAGGGGTTCATGAGTTTTTATTTTGTTTAATTCTCATACCTGTACTTCATACTTATCAATTCCAGGAGGTGCTGTGCCTCTAGTGAGCATGGGTTGTCCTAGGGTAGAGGCCATTAGGGTCATGGCCTTGGCACTTCTCAAAGCATGGGACCTAAGGCACTTTTGCAAGGAAATATCAAGAACAAACTGGGTTTGTTCTCCTCATAGGCTTCTGGCACTATTTATTATCTCCATGACTGTACAGGTAACAGGTGACATCAACGGTGTTCTCAAAAGACAGCTTTTCTAACTAGTAGATAAAACCTGGAGTAAAATAATGACAGTTATTCTCAAAGCTAGAGACTATAATCCACGTTGATTTTATATAGTGTGACAGCTGTTGATACTTGAGCCTGTCTGAAAGACTCAGGTAATATGAAATGTGTTTATCATGAATCCAGGGGCATGTCTCTCAGCTTCCTAGGTTAATATTTATCCTTATATTTGATAATGGAATAACACTGTTTACTTGAGTGATGTCCCCTCTGCTATTCTGTGTGTCAACAAAGTGTTCATTGACCCTATAAATTCAATTTCACAGAACTCTCCCTGAATTAAACAGAGGAGAATGTGTTCCTGATAAAATGGCACTTTAAATATATGACATAGGTTTACTGAGGCAGGGCCAGCTCATGGATCAAGCAATAATCAATAACTCATTCCCTAAGATGCCTCTCTTACTATCACCTCCCATTCACACACACATCTCACTCCCACGGAGTGAGTTAGCATTCATTGCTCCTTTAGGGTGGAACAGATAATGGCCTAAAAGAGCTCATAAGTCTTCGTAAAAAGGCCATACCAAGAGGCAAATTGTGGCCTTAATGTGATTCTTGCAGGGAAGTTGGACTTCTCTTGAAAAACAAAAAACAAGCTAAGAAACTTTATTTTCATCCTCATTCACTCCCTGAGCTTAAGGTTCAAAGTGTATCTTCTGTTCCTAGGTGAGCGCCCTGCACAAGGAAAAAACAAAAACTGACAGCTTGATGAATCCTGCCCACACCTGGGCAGTAAATATGTAAGTTTCCTAATTTCATTCACTGAGATACTCATTAATATCTGCTTTGTTAGCCTGTTGCAGCTTAGATTACTTTCAAAGACTTTTATTAGAGGAAAGGTTAATGGCTTGTGCCAGTGAAACCATCATTGTCCACTTGTCTAAAAACAAACACTAAAATGATTTGCCAGAGCAGTGAATGGCTTGTGGGCTGTAAAAAATTCTTCCAGTTGCCCTGCCTACCTCAGAATGGCACAGTCCCTGCCTATTGAGGATGTTTCCTTCTAATTGCAGTTTGCCTTTATCTAGGTCACTATACACACACTGACTGTGCACTTAGACAGGGTCCTATTGCTATTCCAGACTCGCAGGACTCAAAATGAGAATGCTTAGAGATTTGTAGTTTATTGCAGGAAATGTTATGATACAGCAGCAACATTAATGTTGGGATGTGCATCACATCCAAAGGCTGGCATAGTGCATGGAATCCAGAGAAGCCAGCTTGGGGGTCCGATTGTCCTCCCTGTATAAGGACTACAGGATGTCCTTCTCTGGGTCCAGGAACCATGGATATGTAAGCAGAGCACCTTAAAGTGACCTGAAAAGTAGTTTCACCTAGAGTTTTTTATGCTAAGCCAATCATGTATACCAGTGTTTCCCAAAGTGTGGTACGCGTACCTTCAGGGGTACGGGAAGAGTTTGGTGGGGGTACACGTTGCACCAGAGTTTGGTGGGGATATGCACTGCACCATGCTTAGCTGCGCCTAATTCTACGTTCTCATGAGTATAAGGGGTACTCAGTGTTACAAAAATTATACAAGGGGTACACATATGTCAAAAGTTTGGGAAACACTGATTGTAGACAATTTCTTGTATATAACTAGCTGAGTGACAGAGCCCTCCAGATATTTTAATGACTACCATATACAGACGATCAACTTCACTGCAATAATAGTTCATCAATAAGCAACTGAAACCTTTCAAATTATGTTTACAAGCAACACTGCTATTCTGTGTGCTCCATGCATTGACCAGGAATCAGTGCAAAGCAGGTACATTTCTTATTTCATTAAAAGAGCACAGGCCAATTTTCAGCCTGCTGGAATTAACTGTGCCAGCTTAGCATGGGATTGTCATTGCTTCCTTAAAATTGGCTCAGATTTTCTTCTGCCTCATTTAATTTTCATAAGAAGCATTGATTAAGTGCTCTCACAATTAGTGTTCAGTGCTTTTTAGAACCTGCAAAAGAATTTGCCCTTTGGAAACTAATTTTTTTTAAGAACAAAATAAATGTATATGCCCATAATTGGCCTGACCAAAATGACAGTCACTCTGGGTAGAGTCCAGGGGAGAAGAATATCATTGTTGTGTGTGCTATCTATGTCACCTGCCAGCCACTAATATGCTGCTGTTATAGATGCTGTAATAAAAAAAATAAAAAAAAATAAAAAAAAAATCCTTTGTTCCTATATTGGTTGTAGATCTTTGAGAAAAAAATGATCGATGCAACATTAATCACAAGCACTATCTCACTCACATAAATCCAGATGTTCACCTCGCTGATCTATGCTGCAAACACTTGACTTTACTTGGAAGTTCACCTACAGAGAAGCTAAGTTCCATTAAACAATAACTGGGACCACTGTCAAAAGAGCTGTTAATACAAAAATAACTTGGGTTAAATTTTGAAGGCCACTGAAGTAAAGGATTAGACATGTGTTAGCTCTATGCATTTCTATACACATTTGTGTTTGAAATGCAAATGTGCTCTGTTTTCTTCTTCTGAGATTAATTCTCTTATGACAAGAAGTAGCAAAGATGCTTGCCAACAAATGGTCTGAATGAGGTGGTCAATAATCACTGTGGTGATGGGGATAGTAGCTAGTAATATCCCACGGAGAAAATGTATAAAGAACTAAAGGAACAACGGAAGAAGGAGACAATAGAGGAAAAATTAGGTATGCTTTAAATGCCTGCTTAAGTAAGAACTTTCAAAACATAAAACTATGTAAGAAAATTCAGTAGAAAATATAGAAAATCTGCTAGTATATGATTTAAAACTTCCAAATATAAAGAAAATTATAAGAAAACAAATAGAGGAAATATGTAAATATGACACCAATTCATTAATATTCTAAACATACAAAGATGTTATATACATATTGGGAAATAGGAAAGTAAAGCAAAGACCGTGAACAGATAACTTATGCAGGAGGGAATAGAAATGATAACAAAATTGTATAGAGGCTTCCTATACTACTACTAATCAAAAATGTGAAACAAGACCAAAATATATAACCTTGAATGTACTTGAACTTTTTTGTAATTTTAAAAAATCATACTGGTGAAACAAATCATTTTACATCTTGCATTTGAAAGTATAAATTAGATTAATAATTGCATTGGGTTCCAAAAACCAGGATAAAACAATCATTTCTCCTAAGATCATTGTGCTTCTTTGTCTCTAAGTGCTAATATGCTTAAATAACCTATCATGATACTTTATTATAAAAGCAATAATTTATTCTTTGTCAGAATTACACATTTATGAAGTTTTAAGGTTGTGAGAGATTAGGTGCTTATAAAGTCCTGTAGTAGTAGTATTATTATTCATAAAGATGACACATACACTGGAATTTAGAGAGATTTTAATGCTGAACCCTCTGTTAGCCGCAGATATTCTGGGAGAACATCAAAAATACCCTGTTCTACAGTCCTCCTCCCAAACTAAGGCTTGACATAGCTCCTGTGGCCACTCTCTGCTCATGGAAGCCAGTGGCCACCTTTTCCCCTACACAAGGCAAGAGTGCAACCAACTCTATCAAAGACCCTGCCTTTGCCAACTATGCTATAAGAATAGGGTACAGGTCTCCACCCCAGCACCATGCCTGCTCCACTGCCACCATATCATCCTCCTTCCAGACTCTAGCAAACCACAGACTCCCACACAGCAAACACCTAGCCCCTGCCAGGATGGGCCACTGCCCATTTCCCATCTCCTATTCCTTTTTAGACCAACATAGAAAGTTATTTCTGCCCCAACATAATCAACCAAAGTCCTGGCCCTCCTTCCTATGAAGGAGATGCAGAGAGTTGCTTAGTCATTCTTCTCTCTACTTATTAGGAGAAGAATGAACATTGCCAATACATTTCTTAATTATGTTGTCACCCCAATCAACAGACTTTGAATTATGTCCCTTTAGTGACAATGTACAGTTAATAGCTTTAATTAGAAGAAGAATATGATTAGATTTGTGCTTGAGACACAGCGCTGATGTTTACTGTGAAAGATGAATTGTAAAGGAATGAGACTATAAGCAGAGAAGTCAGAAAACTATTGCAGTATTCTCTGGGAAAAGGACAGGGCTTTATCACATCTGCAGGGACACAGAGATGGGGGTGAAGAAACAAAATGGAAGAGAGAAATGTCAGGCACATCCGATTCTGTGATTGAATGTAAGCAGTGAGGAAAAAGATTAGGACTACATATGACATCCAAACTGCTGGCATGAGTGACTGGATGGATCATGAAGGTAATAGCAAAGATGGGAATTATGAAGAGAAAGGGAGCAGGTTTCAGAGGCAGTATAGTTGTTTTCCTTTCAGACATGTTCAGTTTCAAGTGACTGTACTGGGTGGAAGATAATTATTCTACTCACTTACATATTCACCTCCAAATCCAACATCTCTACTTCTCACTTGCTTAGAATCTGAACTTTTTTTCCTACAGGCTTAATCTTCAGCTTTTGTGCTCCAGGAGAAGAAAGAGAGAAAGACCTGTGGAATTAATCCTGACTTCCAATCCTGCTTGCCAATCTACATCAGTCACCTGTCCCCCCGCAAAATGATGTCCAGATGACATGCAATAATCTGATAGAACAAAAATTCCTGGGTTTCCCCTGTCCATTGAGACAGGAGAAAGCACATTTTTACATTGTTTAGGAACATTCTCAGAAGAACCAATTTTAGGAAAGGTATTTGTGAGCAGTTAACCAGGCAGCCCAGGCATGTGTGTTCCCCGAGGACATGACCTTCCCTCAAGTTTAAAGTTTCCAGAACTGACAGTTTTTAATCTATGATGCCTTTCCCAATTTCTTGGTGTTCTTCTATTACCTACTGCTTGTATTTATTGTTTTCTACTATGACTATGTTAATGCAGGGAAAATTTGCAAGTGTATTATTAAATATTAGGTAGAAATCATGATGTGCCACTTTGTACATAAATATATTTTATTCATATGTTCATGTGTTAGTTTTAATAAATATTTACTGTATTCAATACACTAAAATATCATAACATGACTGTGAAAATGTTGAAGGTATTGTCTACCCATAATTATGAAAAATTTTGGATTGACTATTAGTTTATGGGAACTCTATAATGAGAGGCATCTGTAATAAGTGAGAAAGAGACAGGATTAATGTATTAGACCCTGTGAGAGGTAAGTCGTATCATTTCTTTGGTCTTTCTATTTGTAATTCACACTATGTAACAAGGATGTAAAGGCATTTGTGACACTGTACTGCATTCATTGAAAAGATAAGCAGGAGTGAGAGTGTTTCATAATCCTTTCAGTTAGGACTATCTCCATGCATTTTTTATTTCCTTTAGAAATGTAATGATTTGTTCTAGCAATGATTAATAGAAATGAACATTTCATAAATACATAATTGTGATATTATTGTTCAGTGTATCCCTTTCTTTAAAAAACATATGATTATAGCTGTCACTCAATCCGGAGCACATTATTCAGTTGAAAGCTGACTGGTCAACCTTGACCCCTTCTTGGACATGTGCAATCAAAATGTCATGTTGGGTGATGTTCTGTGGAAAACTCTGAAACGAATATGCTGCCAGTGGCAGCTCTTTCACTTGTATGATCATCTTCGCCAAGTAAATGCTAAATCATCCTGATGATGTGAGGACAGTGTAGTAGAATCTGAGCGGTGGATGTAAAACTTCCTTTTAAATTCCTTTTGTTGCAACATATTTGAAAACTTTCAGCTTTAAAGATTATATCTTTAAATAATCATCTTGGTTTTAGCTTTCCGATGTCTGGACACTAAGACACAAACAAGCATATCTATATTTTTAACTGGTATCTCTTTGTGTCCCTTTGAGGAGGAAGATAGGAAATTGAAGAGGAAAGGGAAATTAAGAGGTTATATAAAATGGCAAGGACCCCCCCAATACATACACTGACCCATGAAAGATGTCTTATCCTTGCTTAACTCTAACTTAAAAGTCTTTTATACTGGCACGACAGGGGCTGGTGGATACCAAAGATGGGACAGTTGTCTTGAGAAGGAAAACATGCCAACACCCCTAGAACGCTTTACTGAGCTCCTCAGCAGAATCCTTGTTACACACAATGTGCTGAGAGAAACAAACTCTTCTGCAACTTAAATTACTGCAGTGATATGTTATTCCAGTGTCTAGGAAAACCATTTTCTTGACTTTGCATGAGAATTGTTGGAAGAATTTATAATGATTGGGAAAAGGGAAAGCTTTTTAATGGTCATGAGAGAATAAAATTCATTCTAGTTCAAGAATTGTCCATAAAGAATATGCTTTATACTAACAACTATAACATTAAATCTTCAGAGTCAAAGTGGTAAGAAGATTCAGGAATTTGCAGCTATTCATGGCATTTTGTAGCATCAATCTCAAATGTCTGCATTCTCAAAAATCAACTTAACCTAATGAAATAAGTTTCTAGGCAACATCATTAATTTGATTTTTTAAATTATTGTATTTAAATTATCTACTTTCTATGCCTCACTTGCTACATGTTCTTTATTCTGATATACAGTTCAAATGTCACTGCAGAAAGGGAATGGCTGTATTTAGATCAAAGGCAAACTTTTCTGTGTGTTTGCTCTGCATGACAATATGAATATAATTTAAGTCTACCAATAGTAAAACATAAACAAGAGCTAACTAACTGGCACTTTTTTTTTTTTTATCTGAGAATAAGGGGATGTTGTTGGCTGACACACCAGCTGTGATCAGCCAGTAGAGAAATACTTCAAAATTCCCCTTTCTGAGCTGAAATATTTCATTACATTTCTGACAAATCTGTTTCTTATTTTTTTGTCTACTGATATACAACTCGGGATGTCAGAGAACCTTCAACAATGAACCTGCTAGCTTTCCCTGATTTTTCTCTGTTGAGCTCTATTTATGATCATTCAAGTTTGTATGGGGCCCTAAAAAGACAACTGGGTATATTCTTTAAAAGTTATATTTTCTAGGTCCCTCCATGCTGTCTCAAAGAGTAAGAGACCAGGAGAGCATTATGCTAAGTTAAATAAACCAGTCATAGAAAGACAAATATCACATGATCTCACTCATATGTGGAATCTAATGCATAAAATAAACTGATAAACAAAATATATCTAGAAACATAGAAGCATGGAACAGACTATGGAATCTCAGAGGAAGGCAGAGGTGGGTGGGAAGAGATTAACCAAAGAACTTACATGGATATATGTATAACCCATGGGCACAGATAATAGTGTGGTGAAGGCCTGGGGCAGGGAGCAGGTGTGGGCTAGATGGAGGCCAATGGGTAGAGGTAGGGGGAAAAAGAGGACATCTGAAATACTTTCAACAATAAAAATAAAATTTTTAAAGTTATGTTTTGAGTAATTATAGTCTCAAGACAATGGAACTGTTAATGTTTGCCTAATATTAAAGATATCCATCATTGTGATTAAATAAATACCCTGAACTGAGAACTTGTGATGGGTTATCCAAAGATCTCTTAAAAATGTTAAAAATGTTAATGCAAACACTAACAGGACTTCACATGTTTCATTAGTATACTTTGTCATTGTTTAGAGAGGATTTGTCCTATGGGCCTGCAGATAGCTATTTCCTGTTCTGACTACTTTTTAAAGGAAACCAAGCTTTAATAAGTGATGGAAAAAACATTTATCTTATTCATCAATATTGTATTCCTGAACTTAAAGTCAGAATTCTACCAAACTAATCAAGGATAACATTGTTAGCTAGCTAAGACCATATCCAAGACTCATTTTGTGCCAAGCACTGTGCTAAAAAAACTTCACTTTCATCATCTGGGTTAATCATCACAATAAATGGTAAGAGACAATTTCTAATATTATATCATTGTTTTTATTATTATCATGATCACCATCATTATCATAAGCATATCTATTTTAGGACAGAAAGCTAAATTAGTTACAGAAGGTTGTAAAACTAGTAAACAGCAAAAATGTTAATTTCAACCTAAATTGCAAGTCCCTGTTCTTCATCACTATATTACTTAATCTTTCTAATCTCAGTTTATCTATAAATAAGGATTATACAGTCATGCTCCTGGCCATAGTTATAAGCAGGGTCCACATTTATCATCTCATTATAAACAATAATAAAACTGAACAACTGTTTCAGTAGAAAAAGGCAGGATTAAGCTGTGATCCTTAGGAAGAGAGGACAAAATTGTGATCTCTATGAATAATCAACTTTGACACATTTGAGTCTAGCTGCATAGAAAAGGCCATCTAGGTAGAACCTGATAGTCACACTGAGATGAGAAGATGTAGATTGGAGCAAGGATACTCAGGTAGCTAGAATTCCTGGAGCTACATAGAAAAAAAAAAAAAAATAACAACAACAACAAAAAAAAACCCCTGCATATATACTAGTGGTTAAATTTGTATCTGTTCATGGGATATTAAGCTGTATATACACTTAATATGAAACTACATGGAACCAGGTAAAGATTACTGAGTAGCTGTATGCTGAAAATTCCTAGATATCATACAGGGCAGACAGACATTCTGATCATCCATTTTGGAAAATCCTAATTGATCACTTTGATTAATGATCCCAGAGGATTCACACCTTAGTAGTTGTGTTAAAATACCCTATAGGGTGATTCTGGTTAAAAGAGCATTGTAGCTAAATTCAGAACTCGCTGACTTCTACAACCACATCAAAATTACAACTAAACTATAGAACAACCATCATTCAGAACCACCTGAAATCTAGCTGAACAGAAGTCCTGCAAATAAGGATAAAGAGAAGAAACCACATCAACACTGGTAAGAGGGGCAGATAGGTGGAACAGTCTAGTCCCACATCCACATATGCCAGATAAAAACCGGGAGGGATATCTCACTTGCAAAAGTTCCCTCTGAGGAGCAAGGGAGCCCCAGTCCCATACCAGAACACTCAGCTCAGGGTTCCATTGCCAAGGAAGAGAAGTCCCCATAATTTCTGGCTGTAAAATTCAGGAGATTGTGGCTGTGAGGAGGGTACTGAAATCTTAGGGTACTGAAATCTTAGGCATTCCTCTTAAAGGGCCTGCACACAGATTAACTCAAACTCACTTGCTCTGAGCTCCTGTGCTGGGGCAACAGCTCAGAAAGCTCCAGGGACATATGAGGAGGAACTGAATTGTCTGGAATCAGGGTGAGAGCTGGAGGGGAAGCTTTCTCCCAGACAGAAGTGCTGGTAGAGACTATTGTACCTTTTTGAGTCCTCCCCTCACAAAGCCAGCAGATGGGCTCCAACCTGACTAATTTCTCATCCTGCCTTAGTGATTCCCTGAGTTCCTACTCCACCTATCTCGGGTACAGAGCTGGCCTCAACATGCCCCTTATCCCTTGCTAAGTGGTACAAGACCAGCACTAGAAGCAGCCACACTTGGTTCAGAGCTTGGCTTCTCCTAGATACCTCCAAAGCCAGCACAAGTAGCAGCCATCTGAGGAATGCCTAGCACCTTCTCTCTCACTCACTTTGTAACTCATGCTTGATGGTCCCAGGAAGGTTAGGGTGAGGAAGGCAGGAACCTTATTCCCTGCT